AAACTCGTTTTCTAGAAAACCAGGTCTTCGAAGGGCTATGCGGAAGCCGCATGGTCGTATTCGTAATCAGCATGGTCGATAACCTATAACCCACTAGATTCCGAGCAAAAAGCGTTTAATCACTTCGCGGGGTTCCCCCGTAAGTTTATTTATATGCAGTTTTCTCGAAAAGGTGCTGATAAAAATTTCCTTTTTCCAAGAGTTTTCACCGACCGTGGCTAAAGGTCAGCTCGAATTCGGATGTGGAGACTTACCGGCAGTCATATCTAGTCCTAGATATCATTAGTATGTGGTGACAATGTGAGATTTTAGCTAGATATCATCGAATTTCCATTTTTCGTGGTGTTAAGGTACGCGGAGTGTACTCACACGAGAAAAATTTTCCTCTTTGTTCAAAATTCTTTTTCAGTTACATAAAAATTGAAGTTACTGACTGTCATGTTTCTTCAGATCCGCGCGGATACATACTTTTGGCTGGCACTGTCAGCGATTATATTTTTAACAGCAAAAATTTAAAATGTCATTTTCTTTGAATTTTAGAATCGTGTAGCTTTTAACACGAAATGAAAAATAATATATTTGGTGGTCTGCCGCTTTTTTGATAAAGAAAAGTAAAAAGAACCGAAACACAGAGAGATAAGATATAAAAACAAAGAAAACTATAGTGAATAAATATTTTGTATACAAAACTTAATTTCAGGTGATGTCCCGTGTCCTCCATGGTTAATAGAATGTTGCTATAAGCTTTATTTAGGTGAAGAATTAAGAAAAAAAAGAATTTTCGTTAAATATTAGAAACAGAACATCATAAAGAAAGGGACTAAACCCACGACATCATTTTGACGACATCAATTCGTTGTGCGAAAATTGTGAATATAAATATATTAAGTAATATCGACAAGCGTAACACAGGTCTCAGTGATTCACATTAAACGGAAAGCCAAATCACACACCACACAGACAGAAAGAGAGAGAGAGAGAAGAGGATAAAAGAAAAACGAAAAATAAATGATAATAACAATTAAAAAAGAAGAAGAGGCTGTATAACATAAACAAGAAGAGAGGAGAAAGATAAGTTTTGGTTTAAAAACTTTGTGTTTTTGATGTAGCCATTAGCAAATAAATGAAGTTGTAAAATTTGTGAATAATGTCGAACTGCTCTAGAAAAAGTGTAGTGTAAAGGCGAAAGATTGTCAGGAACCACAGACGACCAGTCAGAGAAAAGAATATCACATTGAGACTCACGACGCGGACACTCCAACAGAAAATGTTTGACTGTTTTTATCTTCGCACAAGCGCAAAATCGACTAGACGGCTTGTCCAGCTTATGGTCTCCATTTTTCGCTCTTTTTCAAAAAATTATTGCAATAAAGCTACGAACGAATCTAAAATTGCAACTAGATCATTAATTAGATTAAACATTCCTCTACAAAATGAAAAGTGTCTCGGCTCTGAGCGTTGATTTCCTATGAAAATACAGCTGTTGTACAAACGGCTAGCTAAAAAGCGTGTCTAAAACAGTGAAGACGAGCAGCGAAAATTGAACACGTATACTACTTTGTAGAAAATTGTTTGTTCTACAAGATGTGATAGCTTTTTAAGTTCGAAACTGCTCTAATTAATCTGTAAAAATCTGAAAAACCGTGACGCTGTGACACTTCAGACCATTTTTTGTCGTAGGTTCACGATTTTTGTACAGGAATGTTTAATCTGCTTAAGAGACACTTTGCCAGCCGATCGAGTATCTTGCCAAAGACCGGTCACGAGTGAAAAATTGACATATACTTTTTATTTCGTATTCGGATTCTACTATTAAATTTAGAATTGAATAACTGTGGTGATCCAGATGAATTTCGTTGTCAGAAGGCCAACAGTGTATACCAATGTCATTGTTTCACAATAGAGGTGGATCAGATTGTGTAGATGGGGCAGACGAATTAATAGATGTTGAATTAGGGGTGGCCGGTTTGTATGGCATCAATCTTGTGTTAATAGTAGTGGAAGGTTTTTTCCATGTGGTGATGGACAGTGTTCACGGCACCATCCACCAACAACCATGTCAGTTTGCAGGAACGGCAGTGGCAACAGATGTTAGATCAATGTTAAAGACGAAACCAGCAACAATGTGGGGAATACCCTTCTTTGTACATTAAGAGTTGAAAATGATTTTGTTGGTGAGGAGTGTACAACCCCCATTTCTTTTCCGATATGAAATTCCGTTCACTGTATTTATAATTCAACAGCTAAAACTTCTCCTACTTACATATGATACGATAAACTATATTGTTCATTCTGGGACTCTAACACAGTTCATTTAATGGATCAACATGTAAACTTTTCGATGAATTAATCACTAATATATACGCAAAGTTTGATGATTGAATGGCCGATGTTCAACGTTTACTTCGTCAACAATGTTTAATATGCACAAATTGCTCAGCAGATCTATTTCATTGTGGAGGATCAAAATGTGTTTCATAATATTGTGTTCATGATCGCACCATTGATTGCTATACTGGTCGGGATGAAAATTATGATCACAGTTGCTCGTTAAACATCTCAATTCAGATGTACATCAGAAAAAGAAGACAGGTGCCTATCATCGATACTTGTTGGAGATAAAATAGCTGATTGTTCGAATATGGAAGATGAATCTCCCAAGCATGAAAAGAGCAAATTTCTATTTCAACAAATATGTAACGGATCAATTGAGTTGCAGGATGGAAATGAAACAGATGAAACAAATTGTCCAGAAGGCTGGCCCTTGCCGAACGCAGTATACAATGTGTGATATGCACTGGGATTGCTTGAATGGTGAAGATGAGGTAAATTGCACTAAATATCGTGATATGTTTGGTAAACCATTTAACACGAAATGTAATATCAATCAACATTATTGTGTGCAATCACACACTGGTGAATACGGATGCTTGTCGTCAATCGATAAAGCTAATGATGTGATAGACTGTTTAGGATCTACGGATGAGCGACAGTATTGTATAGGCCTATATCCAAGTCAACCTGAACGATATTATCGTTGTTGGAATTCAACGCAGTGTATAACTATTCAACAAGTCTGTGATTGCCACAAGCATTGTTTACCTGATGATGATGATGAATTAGTTTGTCCATGGATGAAATGTGGCGATCCCGAAGAAATACGTTTTGAATGTATCGATGGTACATTGACTAAACGAGCTCTACGCTGTGAGGGAGTATCATGTCCGTTCAGTGAAGATAAAATACTTTGCGATTTGATCAGCAGGCCAAGAAGAAAAGCGATACTATTTGATACAGAAAGTTTTCTCGAATACCCTCAATCATCGCTGTTGTTGAAACAATCAGAAATAAAGGCAATCATAAAATGATAGTCCTCAATCCTCCACCATACTCTAACATTACGCTGGTATGGCACTGTAATTATGGAGTATTAATTCATTCAAAGTCAGATGGTGATCATTGTTTATGTCCAACAGCTGTTTGCTTATTGTTTTTCGATTCATGTTTATTTAATAAAAATTAAAATTAAAATATTTTTTAAAAATAAACCTTTTTTATCAGTTTTAAAACTTCTATCTCTGAACAGATATAATGTTTCCAACAGCATATTATGGCAACCGTTGTCAATATCAATCCAGATATTTGACTGTCATACACTGTAATTTGGAATTATTTTCTACTTTATAGAAAATCGATCTGGAAAATCGCCAAGGATTTTCCAACTTTTATAAAATCCTCAGCGATTTTCTGACTGTTTAGAAA